TTAAAACCCTCTCTCTCTCTCTCTCTCTCTCTCTCTCTCTCTCTCTCTCTCACTCTCTCTCTCTCTCTCTCGCTCGCTCTCTCTCTCTCTCGCTCACTGTTGCTCTGTGTGTGTGTGTGTGTCTCTGTCTGTCTGTGTGTCTCTCTCTGTCTCTCTCTCATTCTCTGTGTCGCCCTCTCTCGGTGTCTCTCTCGCTCGCTCCCTCCCTCACACACAGACACGAGTTGGTGAAAGTCTGATGAAACAGTCTAGTACAGCCATGATTTCTCTGTGGACTTGTGTTTAGCGAAAATGATGTATACCTTTTGGATCTGCTCCTCGGGGTGGAACAGGGGCTGTTGTGGTGAAAATCTACAATTCACACGCTATCTATACCTGGTTTGGTTTTCATGGATGGTCTGTGATGATTGGTGGATGGAATGAAAGAGGTAAGAGTTTGGTGTTCTTCAATGAACACACATGCAGAGATGCATTCTCAAAAAACTCAGAGGCAGGCTCTTCTCTCCTCACTTGCAATTGCAGGTTCAGTTTTGGAATGTGTTGTGTTCCCGTGCCAGTCATGGTACAAAGACGACTTTGGGAGAATTATTCATTGCATCGTGGAAATTGAAAGGGATTGGTGTATAAGGACAAACTGTTTATCAATGCGACTGAACTGAACATGTCAGAGTGTTTTGTGCAAATGCAGGTGAAGAAGATTGTCGAGGCTCTTGGTGAAGGTCGGACAGTCCGCCACGCATATCTTGGCGTTCAAATGGTGAGCAATCATCAATGTCTTATTCCTCAACACGCCCTGAACGGTTTGTTGGACTTGTGTTGAATGTGCTCTATTTATTTTTTCCTTCTGTGTATCGATATTGTTTCTAGTTCAGGAGATCCTCGTCTCATCTTTAGAGGCACTAAGACTATCATATGAGGGGGTCTTCTTTTTATCAAACCTTTCTGTGTCTCCACATCTGGGTATTGGTGACGGAGCTGGCATTCAGAATAAGACAGGCAGACTGTGTGGATGAATCCGGTAGGAGTCCTAGTTTGACACGGGATATAGGTGAGGATGCTTTGTGTTTGCTTAGGAGAGAGATTGTAGATGCTTGAGCCTGGCGTCCAAAGTTCCCGTTCACAAGGCTCGTTCGAGTCTGCATCGGCCAGGGCTGGGTCATGGCTAGCCTTGGTGCCTGTCAGTGCTGTTCGGTCCAAGCTGCCCTCTATACTGGTAGGGTAATGGTCCTAGATTGTAGATGCTTAAGCCTGGCGTCCGAAGTTCCCATGCGACAAGGCTGGTTCGATTTCGCTTGCACCAGGGCTGGGTCATGGCTAGCCTCGGTGCCTGTCACTGCTGCTCGGTCCAAGTAGCCCTCGATACTGGTAGGGTAATGGTCCTGAGTGCTGGTCACACTGAGGTAGGATAGCAGCGCCACGGGGGTGCGCTAGGAGTAATGACGCGAGTATGGGATGGGAGGTGGCCTCGTCTTCTCAGGACAGCCATGGCTGACCGGTCCCGGTAATCGCCGTGGGCCTAGCAACTGGCCTCTACAACACCCTGGGCATTTTATTGGGAAAAAAAAAGAAAAGGAGAAAGATTGTAGATGTCCTTAAGACGGGTATGCCCATATCACACCCCTGTCTTTCTGGTCCTATTGCGTTTTAATGTCCAGGCAATTTTCGTGGCAGGGTTTGTAGATGTTCTTAAGACACCGGTATATGCCCATATCACACCCCCTGTCTGGTCCTATTGTCCAGGCAATTGTTGTGGCAGCATTCACTCCAAAATGGTGTGATATATAGGGTCCCTGGCACACAATGGGGTCTTGGCCCCTCTTGGGCATTGGTGGATCCTGAGCATTGCTGACCGGCTGAATGTTGTGTCTGCTGTGATGAGTACTGTGAAGAATTCCTGAAGGAAGGTAAGTGGCTCTGATGTCTACCTTGCCATTAGCCTGTGGGAAGTGTTAACTTCCCTTGGATGTTCTCTTCACTTTTTTATTTTTTTTTGCCCTTTTTTTTTCCGTTTAGTGATCAGTTTATTCCACCTCTTGGCGATTGTCTTCCATGGCGAGCTGGCTCAGGCCCTCAGGGAAACAATGTGGTCCACTGGTTCTGCAGAAAATGAGGCTATTTGCGGAAAGAATGAGGGTGATGCAGAAGTGGGGACTGCTTATGGGAACAGTTTGTAAGTTTGCAGGCTCATGGCATTCTCCTCGCAAGACTCATTCTCGGTAGATTGAGATCTGGAGCTCTCAATAATCACTTCCGTAGTTTCGTGCTCTATTCAATTGAACATCAAACACACATTCTGAGGCCCCTTTCTTCGAGGGGTATGTGGAAAAAAAGCACCAGTACATCCGAGCCTTTTTTATACGAGGCGGGTTGCCCCTGGGCTGCAAGCTTTGCGGCGGCAGCCCCGCGTTTTTGTTTTCGTGTTGGCTAGTGCCGCTCGCCATTTCGGTCCCGTTGCCTGAGCCTCTGAAGTTTTCGGATTGAGCCGATCGGTGCTCTCAAGTTGCGAGGGGCCGTGTACTAGTGGCTTTAACATATTTAGAAGCTTGTGTGGCTTACAGGCTCATGGTGCCGCAATGATTTATGTCTTCATGGGAGTGCGGCGGTGTGATGAGCAAGGCTGAAGGACCATTTTCTCTCAGTTTGGTTTTGCGATGTGTCCTCTGTGAAGTATAATTCCTTGCCCAATGTGTTCATTAATAAACTCAAATTATTTTCAAATTTGAGCTATTTTTGCGGTAGCCCGTGTGGTCATGGTAGCACAGTGGTGGTCTGCAGGGTCTTGTGTGTGACTGGTAATGGGGTGATGATAGTGTGGTGGTGGTCTGCGGGGTCCTGGGTGTGACTGATAAGGTCACGGGGTACGGGGTCACTGCAGGGCTGCATCCAGCTGACAGATTCGAAGACAACGTTATTTATGACTGAGGCGCTTTTGTTTTGTTGTGCTTTCCAAGAAAGGGACTGAGGGTCCTGGGTGCTTTCTGCTGTGGGGTGCATCAGTGGAGTAACTCCAGTTCGTGTCCGCATTCCATTATAGATATTTGTTTCGTGTTTCGTGGGTTCGATTCCCTATGTCATCCATTCGGTTTTCCACGATCCCCTGCGGCATGCTTCGGGTTCACCGGCTGAGAGAGTTGGCTTGTCCTTCCTAGCCGGTTGTGGAAGTGGCATTTGACTTTCCGGCATGTGCCAGGTGTTAGGAGCTTGGGTGCTGCTCCCCGCACAGAGCAGAGTTAGGTAGGTGTAGAGTCTGTAGACCCATAACCCAAGGACAGCGCAGCTTTGGTTAGTACATTTAAGGTAGAACCTTCCTCCTTCATGTAGCTTTAGACCCTAGCCTTAGACTCGAGTCTTTGCTTCCTTGATCCCTCCCTGGCTTGAGGATGGGCTCTAGTTTGGCCAGGGTCTTTTGCTTGTCCAGGGCAGGTAGTGTGAGGTATCATACTGAGAGAAGATGATGCGTACTCAAAATAATGTGGCTGTCCCCAATACGAGGAGAAGACAAGCCTTCATTTATATCTTAAGGGAAAAAACAGGAATGTTTATTTCTTTGTATTCTTGAATATAATGAATTTTCTTAAAAGTGCATGGGTCCTGGGGACCATCTCATGCAAGTGTGTACATGCCATGCATTGTACTCCCACACACAATGAACAGTAGTCTGACAATAGACAAAGATAGAGAAGATGAGGACCGAGTTTCACAGTTTATATTATCAGAAATATGAATACAAARTGTTTCAAAGTTCCCCTGAGTCCAGCGCTCATCAGCGCAACACCAATATCTTGCCAACTCATCAATATGCCTTCCAGTGAATCAGTGCTACCCCTGCAGATAGTCTCTAAGTCATCAATGTGGTCACCACTCATCAGCGCCACCTCTGCAGGTCACATCCAACTCAGGTAAGTATCTTCCATAGCCAACCTTGAATGAACACTCTCAGCCTCAATCCCTTCCTCCTATGATGCATACACACTCTTTAATACTCATGAGGATCTACTCTGGATACTACTCATAGCTACATACTAACTCTCTACTACTAATGCTAACTCGCTGGGCAGCTATGGCTGCATCACTTCCAGCGTACAGGCATCTTCCTCCCTCCAGCGCGTCTTCTCCTCCAGCGCTGCTCCTCCTGACTCTGCGCACAAGTGTACCAGCACTTCCACGCATTGCAGCCAGTGGAGATCTGGCGAAGAATGAGGCAGGCAGCTCTTTTTATAGTGCTGGCCACTCCTCGCTGGGTCTGCATTGGCTCAATTCAGCCTCTCCCTTTGTCCCAGACCCTGCATTGCATGTGTCCCAGTACAGTCCCAATGAGATTCAACTGCTGCTGAGGCACTTCGGCCTGGATTTGGACTTGAAAGTCTGGATCTGGACTGACCCCTTGACTTAGACCAGAACTGGGACTGTGCCTACTGACTTCACTTTCGGACAGGCACAACTCTAAACGAACAGACACATTTACTACTTGAACAGGCACTTTCCATTGCACGAACAGGTACGCTGCCTACACGTACAGACACACCCTTACTCGAACAGACATGACATACACATCTCCTGGTGAACAGGTAAGTCTTTTGACAATGCCCTTTGCCTTAGATTTAGATGTGCCTGTTGATAGAGAACTTGACTTTTGACCTGTTTTCACGTTTCTGAGCCCTGGCAAGATACATTTTCACAATGCTTTACTTTTACAAGGCCCGTGCTGCTCTATTTTTACAAGGCCTGAGGCCTATATCGGGTAAAGGCCCTTTTAAAAGAGCTCTGCTCCCCTTTGAGCACCATTGATTGCTCCTTTTGCAGGAGTGATGTTTTTCATCATGTGGATTCGAACTCGGATCTGTATTTCAACACTTGTTGTTAGTACCAACCGAGGTAGGCTTGTTGGTGTTCTTCCCCTTTTTCAATTCCCAGAGGGTGGTAGCAATTTGGTCTCTGATGCCTGCCTATCTCTGGAGGCGTAAGTTACGAATTCAGAATCCTACAGGATTTGAACCTTTGACCTTCAACTTAAAACTTGAAAGGTTTTTGAAACCTCAACAGCACTTTTGGAACACTCCAGGAGGTTCTCTTCCCTCGAGGGATTGTGACGAATCCCACTCCATGGGAGAAATGCACAGTGCTCAGTCAGTTCGTCCTCGGTGTGCTTTGTCTCGTCCTGGATATTGCTGTCACCTTTTGCTCTCCTTCAGCCTTTCTTTATAGACTCTGGTTTCTGTCTTGAGGATTCCCAAGTCATGGGCTCCATTGAGTATGAGATTTCTAAATCTTTGAGGACTTCTTTTTTTTTTTTAATAACAAAATGGCCCCTTCTATTCTGCGGGGCAACAGTCCGGTTGATCAACTCCCCGGCAAGCATGTTTGCACATCCGAAGAAGGGGGGACATCAGACCAGAGAATTGGAACAGCCTGACCCTTGAGTTCTAGTCCCATAATCAAGGGAGGAACTGCAAACAAGGAAGAGGGGGGTCCCACCCCCCCAAACCGTGGCCTCTCTCCGAGGGCCGCCCTGCTGGCCGGGAGGCTTACTAGCAGTGCCCAGACACGCAGCAGTATGGCCCTTGGGGAGGCGGGTGCGTGGAGGGGACTCCCCTCCAGTTCCTCGGGCCACCTATTAAGAGCCCGCACATCACCATGTCCTCACTTTCTACCTTGGTCTAGCTTATCCTACTCTCATCCTTTTGTTCGACTTTCACACATGAGCTTTTTAAATCTTTTGTTTGTTTGTTTGACTTTCACCACCAGTTCACATGAGCCAAAGCTTTGGCCTTGCGAGTGTATGCGGTAAGAGCCCTTCGCTTCGGGCCTGGCCGGGTATGAAAAGCGGCAGGTTATTTTGTGAAGGCACGGTTGCAGGTTTGTGAGCCTTGGAAGGTATAGCTTTGTCAACTTAGGCTTTGTGTGAACTGGAGGTTTAGGGACCTCTCTTAGTAACACTTTCTGAGCTGATCCTTGTGTGCAGGTCACACTTACCCCGGAGCTTGCTAAGCAGTGTAATATGGACCCCAACTCCGGTGTGGTGGTTCCCGAGATTAGAGGCGTCCTGATTGTGAAGGTAGGCACAAGGTGATCGGTGGATTCACCGCAGTTTCCCCTGTTGGATCTGATGTGTTTTGGTCTCCGTTTCTGCTCTATTCTCTTCGCCGGAATAGTGCATGTGCCATGCGGTCATTTTCGGTGCATCTGGGCTGCAAGTTCGACCAAATGGGTTATAATGACCAGAAGTTGTATTCAGGGGAAGACGGTAGCATGTGTGTCCGACAGTGTATGGTTCACACTTGAGGGAAGTTAGAGTCGGGGGTTGGACGGGATAGGGATCCTCAGCCGTCGATGCATTTGACCTGTTTCTTCCAATGCTATGAAGATGGGCCTTTTTTTTCGTTTTCTTTTTTAGCGCAATGAAACATAGGCCTATCAAGAAGGAACCTGCTGAAATCCAGTGAGAGTTTTATGGGAGTCGGCATAGAGCTCTTGTATCTTGTGGTTTGGAGGGGTTTTTATGCAATGTCCCTGCTCCTGTGGGCCTGCGGGATTGGCTCCTTGCGTGGGCGGGAATGGGAAGCAAAAGGTACCTTTTTTAAGTCTGAAATGACTCAAATGAGGACAGTTCACCCTCTTTCTGAATCCCCCGAGGGAAAATCAGGTGAAGAACGTAGTCCAGGGTGGAAGAATCTATGACCCTCGCACCCTGCCCCTCCGACCACCAGAATTGTCGCAATTGTTAGCAGCCTATATAATAAAGAGAGTGATGAATAGTGGCCCTGGATGTCTTCAGTGTAGTTGTTGCAGAGGGGCATGTGTGGAATTCTGTAACCTACATACAACAACATTTGCCAGTGTCTGTTTACCTCTCTTTAGCTCAACTATTGTCGTTACGAAGCCCTTTTTCCATGTACCATGAGACTGGTGCTGCTCACCACCATCTTCACCTGAATAGAGCACCCGGTCATTACAGCTGTATTTGGCGCAAGTTTCAGTCCAGATGCGGCGAACATGACTGGGCGTTCTATTCGGGTGAAGAGGTTGTTGTTATTTGTGGACATTGTCGAGTGCAAATGGCCTTTTCCTTGCAGATGAGGGGTCAGAACTGCTGTGTTATTGGGCTCAGTCATTTTCATGCTCTTGGTTATATCCATTATGTCACTGTTCCCACTTTGATTTTTTTCATTTTTTTCATACTTTTGTACAGGTCATGCCCGGGTCGCCAGCAGCCCTCGCAGGACTGCGATTAGGGGATGTGGTTGTGGGAGTGGATGGAAACCGGATGCAGAGCACAGGATCTCTTCAACAGTCGGTGGAATTTAGCTCAGTTGGCCAGGTAAGGGGAAGAGGGTCCCTTCCTTTTCGATAAACAAAATAGGGGTAAAAGGGGGAAGAAGAAAAAGAGGGTAAAGGGTTCCAAAAGAAAAAAAGGGGTTATCCCCTAACCCGTGTATGGAATAGTAAGGAGCAGGGGGATGGCATGCTTGATAGTAGGCGCTGAGGAGCCATGCAGATCCCTGTTTCATACCCCGAAGGAGGGGGCCAGAAAAAGAGTGGCAGGAGAATGAGCAGAGGAGGAGTGGGGATGAGCAGCGGAGGAGGGGGGAGGAGGAGGAGGATTATTGCATGGAGAAATCATCGCAGAGATGAAAATTAGCATGGCAGAATGAGGGTTCAAGGTACTCAGAGGTGAGCATGGGTCAGGTCTGGGTCACAGCTGGGTCTTGCTAAGCCGGCCCGGCTGGGTGAATGGGCGCATGAGGCTCGGGCGCGGGTCACCTGACGGGCGGGCGTTGGGTCAACCAGGCATTGGTCTGGGCGGGTGTTGGGCAGGTCAGGCCTTTGTCTGGATCACTCAGCCCACACATACGCAGGGTACCCTGGCCAGCCCCCGTCCCAGCCACCATATACCGCCAGCAGGTCCACCAGCAACAAAAACAAAAAAAATGGCCCTCTTGAACGCCGGAGGCTTCGGCCTTCTACGTTTCCCGAAAAAGAAAGAAAAAAAAATAGTTGTGCCAGCCTGCGTGGTGCACGCCCTTAAAAAAGGACTTGTGGTCCAGCGCATCTGACCATAAAAGTGGAAAGATTTGCTGACTTCAAATTCCATCCAAGTTTTGCCTTGCCAGCAGTCCGCGGACCACGAGGCGGGCGCCGGCCGCGACTGAACAACAGTTCCTGGTCCTGGACACTAGTGGTGGTAGTCCCACATTCCCTCCGGTCGTTAAAGGCCGACTATTGTGCAGTTGCCCTCCAAATGATTGCTATGTTTCGTAATGTTGCAATGACATGGTGCAAATGCAAATTGTTAACCATGTGTGCGACGGCGTTGTGCGGGTGGGTGTGGGCGGGTGTTCAATTTGGTATGGGTACAGGCCGGTCTTGGTGTGGTCATAAGTGGGGGGCAGGTGTGGGCGGGTGCGGGTGGGTGTGGGCGGGTGTTCAATTTGGTATGGGTACGGGCCGGTCTTGGTGTGGTCATAAGTGGGGGCAGGTCTGGGGGTAGACCTTTTTTTTCGGGTGTTGGCGGGTTAGGTGAAGGTGGGACATTTTGAAAAATAACTGGGCGGGCTGTGTTAAGCTGAGGCGAAAAGGCGAAAAGAAAAATGATTGGGTGAGGGCGGGTCAGATCAAAGAAAATCTAGGCGGAGATGCTCACCTCTGCGAGGTGGGGTGGAACAAGAGAGGAGCAGTAGTGAACAGGAGTGGGGAGTAACGTGTACATCATTTTCTTTCGTTTTCTAACTCGCGAAACAGATTTGCTGAAGATCATGAAGAGGGAGGGGATGACAGTCGGAGGAGGGTTTAACTAGGTCACAAACGGGAGAGCAAAAAGACGGGAATGATGTTTGATGTTGACGAATGAGAGGATCAAGGATGAGGGGGAGATGAACGAGGGAGGGAAGGAAAAAGAGCAGCAGTGCGAAAGGGTAGCAACAGCGTTCCTTGTTGGCAAGCAGACTACGAAACCTCGAGAAGATCAGGCAGAAAAAGAGGTGGTGAGGTTGAGGTAAGGAGGAGGATGAAGAGGAGATGAGACTTTGGCTTTTTGAACTTTTTTCGCCTCTCGCTTGGTTTCTTCTTTCCAAGTTTGGCAGAATGTGATGGACTGGAGGGCAGGAACAGGAGACTGAGATGGCAGGGAATGAAAAAGGGGAGAGAGAAGGAAAGAGTGATGGGGAGTAGTAGTGCATTTCAGGCCCTTAGTTTTTTTCTGCCCCCTCCCCCGATTCTCCTTGCCAAATAGAATGTCGAAAGCATGCAAGGGGGTTGGATGACAGGAGGCGGAAGATCAGCAAAAGAGCCGTAAGGAGGTGTAGCGAGTTAAGAACTTCGAAGAGTTTGTGCTTTCCCCGGGGTGTATGAAGCTGGGGATTATGAAGGAGATCGTGAAAGGGAAGATAGGGAGTTAAACGTGTGAAGAGTTGATGGTGGGTCCAGTATGGATCAGGAAGGGGGCATGTGCATGCAGTTGAATTACCACTGACGGCATTATTTCACTTTCGTCAGTATCGTGATAGTGTGCTGATGCTGTGTGGACGATTGCATGCATCCTGGCGTCCTAGGAAGACCTCCTCTTCCTCCGCTCACACAGAAAAACAGCGGATGATGAGAAGGTAACAGATTTGCGGAGAACACCGCAGGCAACGGGTAACTAGGACCACCAAGGAAGAAGAAAGCCGCGGCATTCCCTCCTGTTTCGCTTGCGATCGAAGCTGCAACAGGTCATCTGGGCTCTGGTGGTTAAGTGTTTTCGCTGTTGAACCACTGTTGCAGAGTCCCTTAGCAAACTCAGGCACTCTGGCAGTGGTGGTTTAACCCAGGTTTAACCCAGGTTTAACCCAGGTTTAACCACTACTGCAGTGTTGGTTAATGGAGGAAGACCTGGGATAAGTGTGTACAGTGTTGCCTTTGTGACAGTGTTACTTCGATTGCACTGAATTTCGAATCAGAGGACTCAAGACCTGCTCTGGGCATATCAGAGCATGGAGTGTTTGTTTTTTGTGGGGGTTGTGATTTCATAAAATCATCCCTTCTCTGCAAGGGGACAGTGCAGCAGTGTACTTCAATTATCCAGCTTTTGTTTACTGAGTTTCGAATGACCGCTTTGACGGCGCCGTTTGATGTGCATGGTGGTGGTTGCTGCAGGCACTGAAGCTGCAGATCCAACGAGGGGAGAAAGAGATGGAGATGGTCGTGAGGACGGGAGAAATGTCAGCCTTTATAGACCCCTCGAAGAATGGAAACGACAACGATGGAGGAGGGGGTGGAGGAGGAGGACGGGGAGGAGGAGGAGGAGGTAGTTTGCAGGGCAGTAACAATGCACCAAGAAGTGGTAGTGGGCGTGAAGGATCGATGCGGAGGAAGGACACTTTTACCCAAAGGGCAACGGTCACCTGTACGTAGTAGTTGATCGGAGGGGTATTTTTTCATTTGATTTGACAATTTGACAATTTGTATAATCCTTTCCTTTCCTTTCAGTATAATCCTTTGGTCACGTTACACGACATAAATCTAATATCGCATGAATCTTGGACATGCGGCAGCATCCGAGTAAAGCATTATCTGTCCGGAACAAGGGTGTTCTTACGCGAAAGGACAACTGCCGTATGCAAGAGTAGTCTTCAGGAAGTAGACAGGTGTTCTTTCATTCAGGGTACTGTACAGTCCTCTTCAATTAGCTATGAGTCTATCTGGTCGTAACTCTGTCAAATAGTCTCAAAATCTATGCGTAGAGAGAAGCAGCGGATTGGGAGTTTTCACATCCTCACTGCTGGGGCAGTGCTGCGAGGACGAGTGCAAGCGATCCATTTGAGTCATGTTGCAGCTCCGCTCACAGCAGTCCTTGTCAATTTGTAAAGCTTACTGAAAGGTTCAGAGGTGTCCTGTTCAATCTCGAGTACAGTTTGAATTAAAGTACGATGACAGATCTGCCAAATAAAATCTGAAAATATGCATTCTCATTGCCAAGAATAGGCAATCCCTTCTTGATTGATCGGATCGGTGCTATTCCGTTCATAGCCACCCTCAGTCTGTAGTTACTGTGCGGAACGCACTGTGGTCTTCGTCTATAGTTACCGTGCCCAACCACTGTCGTTTTGTCTTATAGTTACTGTGTGGAACCACTGTGGTCTTCGTCTATAGTTACTGTGCGGAACCACTGTGTGGATCGACTGCGGTCTCCGTCTTCAGTTACTGTGGGGAACCATCGTGGTCTTTGTCTGTACTTACGGTGCGGAAGCACTGTGGTCTTCGTCTATAGTTACTGTGCGGAACCACTGTGTGGATCGACTGTGGTCTTCGTCTTTAGTTACTGTGGGGAACCATTGTGGTCTTTGTCTATACTTACGGTGCGGAAGCACTGTGGTCTTCGTCTATAGTTACTGTGCGGAAYCACTGTGGTCTTCGTCTATAGTTACTGTGCGGAACCACTGTGTGGATCGACTGTGGTCTTCATCTTTAGTTACTGTGGGGAACCATTGTGGTCTTTGTCTATAGTTACTGTGCGGAACCACAGTGGTCTTGGTCTTTAGTTACCATGTGGATCGACTGTGGTCTTCGTCCTTAGTTACGTTGTGGTCTTTGTCTATAGTTACTGTGTGGAAAGAATGTGGTTTCTCTCAAAGTGATGAGAGTGGGGGGGGTTTGTTTGGACCAGGTGCACATGCGGCAAGGCAAGCGACGAAGAGTCTGGCCGCTACTTGACAAGACAGCGCAATCTCCTCGGCTCGACCGATCCGTGCTCTTCAGTTCATAGCCACCTCCAGTCTATAGCTACCGTGCAGAACCACTGCTGTCTTCTCCCAAAGTGGTGAGATTGTGAGGTTTGTGTTTGGATCAGGTGCACTTGTGGCATTTGCAAACGTGAAGATGCCGGCCTCTACTTGAGTGCACAGATGACCAAACTTACCAGCCCGCTAAACGTTGAAGCTGTTGGGGCGATTTTCTCAACTTCACTCACTGTATTCATGCTTTGTCTCTGTATCGCATGAATGTGCTTTGTCTCTGTATCACATGAATGAAAAAACAGGACAAGGTTCACAATCATGGAAAAAGAAGATGACATGAAGGAAGGAGTTGTTTTGTTTGTAGCTAGAATGGGTGTGTGTGTGTGTGTGTGAGAGAGAGAGAGAGAGAGAGAGAGAGAGAACTACCTAGCTGCGTCCCATGTTTGGGTGGAGGTTGCCACTCTGTCTAGAAAACCCTCCGTGGACCACGTGTTCTGCATTTGCTCTTCGTACTCGCTGCGATGTAAGTGTTAAGCTTTTGACCAACTGAATTGTGAGCTCTTAAGGTAGGCGTAGGCATCACAGGGCTTCTGCGTTTGCTCTTTGTACTCGTTGTGATGTGAATGTGCACAAGCTTTTGACCCACTGAATTGCCTCAAGGTAGGCATCACAGGGCTACTTTGTCTGGGAAAGCCTTGGCGGACCTCGTCTGTTGTGCGCGTTTGCTCTTCGTACTCGCTGTGATGTGAGTGTGGGTTGCTGGCACATACTTTTGCAGCGGATGTGGAAGTCCGCGACACAACAGAGTGGAGGTCGAAGTCATGCAGGATGTTACCGTGTGATCTGGTGGTGTGGTATAATTTGATTACGGTTCAGGTCGCAGCCACTCCGGCATCTGATCCAGGTACGCGAAAGACACCTCGAGATTGCCCCACCTCCTTTCGATGGGGGCATATGCTCGTTGAACCCAGCGGAAGATGTGCTGATTCCCATTGGACCATGGTCTGGGCGTCGGCAGCCGCTGGATTTCCCTGCATTCCGATGCAGGTATCGAAAAGCTTGAGGAGATCGTAGTGCGTTCATACTACATATGCTTTGGGCATGCTACGGTGGAAGCCTTCATGAAAGCACTGAGATTGTTTGTGGGATGTGGTCAGATGAGGAAGCAGGTTTGCAGCCCCCAAGGAAGTGGGTGTCGTTTAGAGGAGGCAGGTCTGGTCTGCATTCTAAAGTCTAGGCGTGTCTGCATTCCAGTGCCGTCTTCAAGTCCGGACAGGGCTGCATTCAAGTCCAGACAGGGCTGCATTCCAAGTGTAGTAGGACTGCATTTCAGTCGCATCAGGTCTTCATTCCAGTCCAGACAGGTCTTCATTCCAGTCCAGACAGGTCTTCATTCCATTCCAGACAGGTCTGCATTCCAGTCCAGGCAGGTATGCATTCCCGGCCATCCGTAATGCCAGTGTAGTAGCTTTTCTAGGTGTGTCGTTTACAGGAGGCAGGTCTGCATTCCAGTCCAGGCAGGTCCTCATTCTATTCCTAGCAGGTCTTCATTCCAGTCCAGGCAGGTCTGCATTCCGGTCCAGATAGGTCTGCATTCCAGTCCAGGCTGGTCTACATTCTATTCCTAGCAGGTCCACATTCTATTCCTAGCAGGTCTTCGTTCCGGTCCAGATAAGTCTTCATTCCGGTCCAGATAGGTCTGCATTCCAGTCCAGGGAAGGTCCAGTCCACGCATCAATGACTCCGCTTCCCATTCCTGGCAGGTCTGAATTCCAGTCGAGGCAGATCTGAATTCCCGTCTGTTCCTTATGCCAGTCTAGTTGCGGCTTTCGTGGCGTCATTTAGAGGAGCCAGGTCTGCATTTCGTTCCAGGCATGTCTGCATTCCGGTCCGTAAGTAAATCCCAGTGAAGCGTCGTACAACTGAAGGCAGCCGAGTACGATCATAGTCACAATCTGACTTTTTGTGACTTAGCTCTGGATCAAAGGTGGAATTTCTGTATAGGTACATCCAGGGAAATCCTAGCATGAGTATGCTCTCGAGTGTAAAGCAGTTGTGAATTTGTAAGTAGGTCTTCGATGGATTTTTTGGTCGCTTTCCTCTTTTGAACTTCTCTTTTTTTTTTCCGTTCATCTGCATTGTTGGAGTCGTGTGCGGTATCGACGGGCTGCTTAGTGTTCAGTTGGTACACCCATAAATTGTTGCAATGCAGACCTAGTTTCAATCCAGAGTCCAGTGTGGTATTGCTGTGTTCCTAGCACTGATTGCAAGTATGCAGTGGTTGCAAAGTCCTTTCTTTTTTTCTTTTTTTCTTTTTCTGGGCCATATCTCGATTTATGCGTGTCATCCCTTTGCAAAGGGGACATTTGCTAATCTACCCTTCTCTGTATCGTTCCAATTTTAACGGATGTCCCGAAGGATGTGGTAGCAAAGTCTCTCATGTTCCACTACCGTTTTCACCCGAATAGATCGCCGGGTCATTATCGCTGTATCTAGTCTGAGAGTTGCATAAAATAATGACACCTCGACTTCGTAATTGTGAAGGGATGGATTGCCTTTGCATGACAACCAGCGGATCAGAGCGATGGGCATACCGGGAATGAAAGTGGTAGGTATGATGGGAGGGAAGTGATTGGTATGGTGGGAACAGAGCATTTTGCTCGTCCTCTTCTTTGTCTTCCTTGGTCAAAAACTTGGTTTACAAACTTTACACTTCCTAGACTGCCAGCTAGATTTTCCAACTCATTGTGAACCAGTGATTCTGGGCATTCAGACACAGAGAGAGAGAGAGAGAGAGAGAGAGAGGAATACGTTCTTTTCTTCTTTTTCGGTTAGCTTGCGAAATACCATTTGATCGAGATCGGCAGTACTGCAAGAGGAAATGGGATAATGACCTCTCCCAGAGATTGCAATGACAATGCGGTGAGGCGATGATGTGAAATGGATGGTTGATATCAGCGATGAGAATTCAGTCAAACAATCGCAGGAGATGGATGGTCGAGAGTGGTTTTGGATAGTCTATATGGGTTGAAGGAGAACCTCAATGGTGGGCAAAGTGTCTGGTCCCTTAAAAGCTTGTGTGAAAATGACCGCTCTTATTTTAGCATCACAACGATACTGGTCGGGTAATCTTGAAGCTCTTTACAAACTCGAACTCGCACAGTGTTTTGCTTTGCTTCGAACTTTTAAGTGAATCGTTACAGTGTGGTAGTGAACACACGACAAACAGTAGATTTCCGTTTCTGTAATCGGAAATGTTTTTTCTTTTTTTGTTTTTTGTTGTGTATGTGTGTGTGTGTGTGTCACCACCCTTTAACCTGCAGAGATCTGTTAGACAAGGTGACTCGCTGACCCCATTCCTTTTTGTTATAATCATGGAAGCACCGGCAGCGAACCTGGGAACCCACAGAAGGTTTTGCGGTGCACGTAATCATGGATAAGGACTCGCCACATCGCCCCCGAGTTAGCGACACCCATCCCTGAGAGAGAAAAGTGGTCAACCGTACTCGCACCAACCTTGAAATCCTAGCAGACTGCCGGTGTGTGTGTGTGTGTGTGTGTGTGTGAGAGAGAGAGAGAGAGAGAGAGAGAGAGAGAGAGAGAGAGAGAGAGAGAGAGAGAGAGAGAAATGTGTTGGGAAGCAGAATGGCACAAAGGAGGTGTAATAATGGTCGAGAGGAGATCTGAAGTCCATGTGCTTGTTGGAAATCGCCATCGTCGTCAGAGAAAGCGCAGCGAAGGTGATTAGGAGGGGGGGGGGGGGGGGGGGGGGGGGGGGNAAATGGAAGGGAAAATTGATGGCCGCCATTGGCGGGGATCGAATCTGGACCACCTGGTATGAAGTTAATGGCCGGGAACGACTTTGGATCCCTACGGGGATGATGATTACCTGTGCCTGTTCCGGTGAGATTGGAACCTCCTCCGGCAAAATTTCTGTGCCTATTCTGGTGAGGTTCGAACTCCCTGCCGGCAAAACATTTGTGTGCTTGTTCTGACGAGGTTAAAACCCCCACCGGAAAAAATTCTCTTGTTCGTTCATTTCAAGTTCCAAGTTCTAATGCTGAATGATATGAACAAGAGACCAGGGAACTGTAGTTTGTCTTATTTCAGTTTATTGGATGTTTCTAACTTTCTATATTGGTAAAATATATTTTCTATATTTCGGGGCCTAAAAATCAGTGTTTTTTTCTGAATATTTTTTTTCGAGTTCGCTATGATTTGAGGTACATGCCTATAAATTCTGAAGTCATTCTGCTGAGCCAAACAAAAATTAAAAATCGCCAAAGATGGTGATGTCAAAACGTGACTATTTTGTTTTTTTTTTCACTTCTTACTTTTTGTTTTCACTTTATTACAGGGCCTAAACAATTTTATTATGTTTTGCATTTTTTTTTAGTGAGTTTTGTATTATGTGATGTACACATCTGTAAATTTTCAGGGCATATGGCTGTGCCAAAAAAAAACGAAAAATTGCCGAAGATGGTGGTGTCGAAAACGTGCTCGCTCACTCGATAATTTTAATTCTCTTTTCATTTTTTCTTATTTTAATTATTAGTCTTATTTTCTGTATTCTATTTTTATTTCAAATTTGGTAAGGAATTTGGGTGTAATGATCAGGCAAATGTTATTTATTTTATTGTTCTTCTGACTCCTTCATAAGATAAAGTTTTTTTCCGAAGTTTTTTTTTTTTTTTTTTTTTTTTTTTTTGGGTTTGCGTTCGGCCTGAATGACCAAACACATCCCCATGGGGTTCCGTACGTTCCCATGGGGTTCCGTACGTTCGGGCGTTCGGCCCGTCCCGAACGCCGGGTACCGTGGTACGTATAGTATTTTATGTAATTATCTTTTGAGTTTTAACTCTACTATTGGTTTTGTTTATGAATGGAAGAAGGGCGCTTTAGATTGGGAATAACACATTTGGGTAATTAGCTCAGTTGGTAGAGTGCCTCGTTTACACCGAGAGAGCCAGCGGTTCAAGTCCGTTATTACCCAGATGGGAAAATAGCTTAGTTGGTTAGAGTGCTGGTCTGTCACGCCAGAAGTCGCGGGTTCAAATCCCGTTTTTCCCGGGAGGTATGGCTGAGTGGCTGAAGGCATTGGTTTGCTAAATCAACATAAATATTTTATACAGAATATTAATTACATCATATTCTATTTTTTTAGTTTATTATTATATAGTATAATATTAGTATATATCATATTATAAACTACGGTACTGAACGTGCACGTGTGGGGCCTCTCTGTACGCAACGCCTGTCCCGAATGCCGGTTACCCCGGTACATATAATATTTTATTATGTAATTATCA